TGTATTACTATTAGCTAACATCCGTACCTTTTAGATTCCTTCATCTTTTTTTGTACTCAGATACTGCCTGGGGTGCTGCATTACATTTGGTCATCATGTCTCCTTAAACTTTTTTAGTTATGACAACTGTTTAGATTTTCCTTGTTTTTGATGACTTTGACTCTTTTGAGGATTACTGATCAGGTATTAAAATGGTCCTCATTTGGGAGCTGGGCCTGGTGTTACATGCCTATAATCTTAGCCCTTGGGAGGTAGAGGCAGGAAAATGAGTTCAAGTCCTCTTTGGCTATAGACAGTTTGAGGCTAGTCTGGGCTATTATAAAACGCTGTCTTTAAAAGGATGACGTGGATGCTGACTTCAGGAAAGGACATGGCTGTTGCCCTCTTGAACTCAATAGCAACTATGATTTCCTGAACAAGATCTCTACAAGATTGGACCTAACAAAACCCTATCGTGGGAAGGGGCAGGGTTTATGGGGTCCCAGTCCCCTCTGAGGATTTAGGTGAGGGTGATGGCTGATGGGGGAAGGAGAGACATTTTCTTCAGTGGTGTAGCCACTGGTCAGCACACATTCTCTTTAAACATACTCCTACCCATGCTCCTGTAGACAACCCTCATGAAAATAAAGACAGGAATGGAAGTAGAGGGGACTAGTTGGGAAGAGATGGGATTGATGGAAGTAGAAAGGGTTGGAAATGGGGTGAATATACTCAAAATTCATTATGTACATGTATGAAAAATGTCATAATGAAACATGAAATTGATCTAGGCTAATGAAAACATTAAAGGAGCTAGGGATGTGTAGGAGGAATGGGGGGAGTGGGAAAATGGACTTGGAGGTAGATATGATTGAGGCACATTATGTACATATATGAAATTGTCAAATAATAAAATAAAAAATATTCTTAAAAAATCAAGAGGGTCTGAGGAGATGACTCAGTTGGTACAGTGCATGTGCAGACCTGGTTCAGTCTCTAACACCACATAAACCAGGCGTGGCAGGACACACCTATAATCACAAACAAACACAAAACAAGAAAAGGAAAAAAAAACTTTCTCATTTGGGATTTGTATGGTTCTTTTCTCAGGATTAGCCTGAGGTATAGTTTTTGGAAGAAAGACTATAGTGAACATACCAGTCATATCAAGGTTACATCTATCACTGTTGATACTAACCTCAATCCCTTGGCTTAAGGTAGTGCTTGTTAGTGGCTGCCATTGTAAAATTACTTTTTATTTATTTGTTTGTTTATTTTTATTTTATGTACATGAGTGTTATGCCTGTATGTATGTAAGTGTATCCATGTTGTGCAGTGTCCACAGAGGCCAGAAAAGGGTGTTGGATCTGGAACTGGAGTTACAGATGGTTGTTAGCTGCCATGTGGATGCTGGAATTTGAACCTGGGTCTTTTTTTAAAAAAATAGTTTATTATTTTTATTTTATGTGTATTAGTGTATTGCCTGCACGTATGTGAGTGCACCAGTGTCGTGCAACACCATGGAGGTCAGAAGAGGGTGTCATATTCCCCTGGAACTGGAGTTAAGGATGGTTTGTAGCTGCCATGTGGGTGCTGGGCATCAAACCTGGGTCCTCTGCAAGAGCAGTCAGTACTCATAACTACTGAGCCATCTCTCCAGCCTCCAAGTTACTTTTTAAAAAGCCTCTCCATATAGTAAACTTTAGTAGAAAGCCATTATGTGCAGCTACACTTGTAAGAGAGTAGTGTGTTTTAATCTTCCTCCTTAAAGGAAGTATATCTACATAAACTATTTAGAATTCTCTACAGAAAATAGGTCTCTTATTTATTGATTTATTTGGTCATTTATTTATGTTATATGTACTTATGTATATTTATTTTCTACTTTGGTCTATAATTCAGAGCTACTTTATCTGTTGCTTAAATTCTTCTAGCTCTGGTCATTAGAACTTCATTCAGTTGACTAGTGTCTCTATCCCTTAGACGTCTACATGCCAGAAAGTACAGCATTTTCATGTAGCCCACACCCAATGTCATTGTGACATAGTCCTTTGTTTTTGGAACTAGAAGATGCTCCAAGTTCATCTTGTGTATTTCTCACTTCAGTCCGAGAATCAACCATCTCTCTTAATACTGCTGGTTCCTTTTATTGGAGAATGGTATTAGGAACCAGGATCTAGGTTCTAAATAAGCTCTCTGCTATTGTCTTTGGGAATTTAGGAATCCCTGTGTCACAGGACTCAAAAAAGTGATGTTTCCTTCTTCTGGTTTATTATGTCATCCTGCCATTTCCTGGATGAGAATAAGAGAGCTTGGAATTTTTCTTAGTGTCCAGGAAAGTAAGAAATAAACCCCATTTCTTGGGATTCTCCTAAATTTCCTGTATTTTAAACTTTCCTGTAAAGTACTTTAGCTTGGAGGAATATGTTGGTTTTCCAGGGCTGTCATAACAGTACTGCAGAGTTGGTGACTTAAACAACAGAACTTTATTTCTTCACAGTCCTAGAGGCTGGAAGTCCAAGGTCAAACTGCTGGCAAGGGTTGGTTTCCTTTGAGACCTCTGTCCTTGGCTTGCAGATGGTTACCTTGCTGCTTTACCCTGCTGTGGTATACCCCAGTGCATGTGCATCCCCAGTTATTACCTTCTACTTAGATACTAGTCATACTGAATTAGGGGTCCCTACACTGATAAATTTATTTAATCACCTCTTAAATTTTTTTGATTTATTTTTATCTATATGAGTGTTTTGCTGCATGTGTATAAGTACATCTGTGTGTACAATGCCCTCAAAAGTCAGAAGAGGATGTTGGATCTCCTGGAACTGGAGTTGTTAGCTGC